ACCACCGCTTCCAGAGTCAGGCCATGCTGGCTGGGGGATTCTGGAATTCGTTGTTTCTGAAAGCAACAGGTCCAGGCTCTGATTCAATGATAAATTTTTGGCTGAGTGGTCTTCTAGGGAAAGTAACACGTATGCCTAGCCACTGGTAAAATATGACTCTTAAATTATCTCATTTCTTTGTTTTGCTACAGTATTTACAATAGCAACTTATGGTAACATTTAAAGAGGACTATAAATTAAAATGACCAAGGTATGAAGACAGATACTGTTTTAGCAAGGCAAGGCAAAGTATGGTGTATATTTTGAAAAGTCTGGATTCTGTTTTCCACTAGTGACCTCATCAGAGATACAAGAAATCTGAGCATTAAAGATTACATTAGCCCTTAAACAGAAGTATTCCAAAAGGCACATTTCCAGCTGCAATCGATGGTGGTAAACAATTGGAGTATCAGAAGCTTTATTTCCTATTTGATTCTGCATTGGCAATAAGCTGCTTCTGACTTCAGGCAAAATTTCTCAGGGTTTTCTGGGCATATTTGAAGTAGTTTGCTAGTCCCCTTCTTTAGGGAGTGTTCTGGACCTTATAGCTTTCCAAAGGCTATACAGGCTGGCTCTTCTCCTGGAAAGCACAATGAGAAATTGAACTCCCAGCAAAAAGTAAACCCGGTTACAAGTACCAGATAGAGATATCACTTGGAGCAAGCAGGACCTATATACTGTAACTAGCAATGGGATTTAGCCTTATGTTTTAAAGCCCTAGAAACAGGCAAGTGCTGTTAATGTAACTTTCACTTTATGCACAACTTTTTCCATGAAACTAGATTACACTAACCAGCTTTGTAATAGTCCTTGTATAATGCATTACCAAAAGCAGAGGCATCAGAAAACATTTCAATCACATTGTGTAGTGTAGCACTGGTTATTTTAGAATGAGCAAAATTATTTAATTTTCCATCTATGCATGCTTGTTAGACATAATTTTGTTGGGGGATGGGTTCTGTGGGTGAATGTTAAGTAGGCAAAACCAATGTTTATGAAAAGAAGATTAAACTGGTAAGCACAGTAGGTTCAGGATCTCTAGCAGTGGCTTGCAAGGTTCCCTCTTTGCTAGCAGATGTGCTATCAAAGTAGCAAAAAGTCCTACTATTCTCTTTCCAAAATAAAGGATCTGATTTTGGACTAATTATTATTGTTCTTAAAAATGGCTTGAGTTTTCAGGCTCTATAAGAAATATTGCTGTAATTGTTACACGGAAATTTGGGAAGTACCATCCTATGAAATGTGCATAGCTTTGTGTGTGTGTGTGTGTGTGTGTGTGTGTGTGTGTGTGTGTGTGTGTGTGTGTGTGTGTGTGTGTGTGTGTGTGTGTGTGTGCGCACGCGCACAAACCACACACATACACTTTCTATGCAGGTTGGATTTTTTTTATAATTTACAAGTGTTCGCTCACAGGCTTCTCTGCATGCTGTTGTGTGCTTTTTTAACTGCAGTTTGCGATCAAAGAACTGCACAGGCTGCAACATTCTGAGAAGTGTGAAAACTGAAGGGTTCATGTCCCATTTTGTATATCAGTTTAAGGAGAAGCAATTTAGGTCAAATCATATTAAACTGCAAATGAGACTAATTTTTTCCTCATCCCACTTGTCTGAAATGGTAGAACAGGAAGTATAGCCACTGGCTCAGGTATCCAGTACACCAATTTAGAGCAAGTTAAAAATTACTTTTTCTTTTAGCTTGAATGTCTAAAGCAGAAGGCATAAGAGAGAGAGAGAGAGAGAGAGAGAGCAGCCTATGCAGTGAGTAGCCCACTAATCAGCCAGCCTGAGAGAGAGAGAGAGAGAGAGAGAGCCAAACAGGGCCACCTTGTGTTCATATATACCTATGACTTCAGCTTAATAATAATGATTGTATGCCTTCTTATTCACACAGGAAATTCAAGGTGTGATTCCTGGTTTTTACAGCCCTCTACCTCTGGGAATAAGCCCAGTTAGCAACATTTCACACAGCAATAACCTTTCAGGAAAGTGGTCAAAACTGTGAGCAAGGCAGAAATCCTCAAGATTGTTTAAAGAGGCACTCAGGCCCTGCACATCAACAAACACTGAGAGGAGAAATGCAAGAGTGCCCTGAAGACAAAAGCAATTAAATAGAAGCTCATTGGGTGGGGGGTTATTTGGATGGCAAGATGGACAGATGGGGAGATAGCTGTTACAGGGGGATGAAAAGAAAAGTAGTGTGGAGATGGAAGTATGGGTGAATGGGCTGACAGATGGCCAAGATAACGGTGCTGAGCAGTTCTTATGAACCTGAGAAAGGCATCCAAGTTTGTTTCTGTTAAAAATGCTTAATTAGACTAATTAAAGTGAAAAGAATTGACATAAATACATTTTTATAAACTTGGAGCGTGCAATTTTCTACATGATTTGTCATTATTTAGAGTCTGCTTTTTCCAGGCATGATTTTAATAAAGCCCCATGCAGATTCTGAATGGACATTCCCATTGAAAGCCAGTGTATGAAGATACACCTGCCTATAATAACAAGGTTTTCCAAGGGGGGGGGGGTTCTGCTTAGGCAGCCACTCTTGCAGTTGGAAATATATTGCATTTTTAGGTCAGCAGCAAAACAAAAAAGAAAAAAAGAAGAGCCAAAAGCCCAAATTGCTAATCATCAGTGTCTGAGTAAATGCCAAATCTGCACATTCCTGTGTGCTTCCATTGACTTCCCTTTAAACACATGTAGTAATTGGTACCCCATTTCAACCTGCTTAAACAAGTGCTGAAAGCTAATATCTTGTATCTAACTATCAAATATGTATTTTTATCATTGTGGTCTTTCAAACACTGTTTGCCTCCTTAAATGCGCCAAAACCAAACATGCTTCAGCTGGATAATTATTACAGGGGATGTCTGAATATATTTTGAATACCACCTTTTAATAATCATAGCTTTGTTCGTAGAAATGGGGAAGAAGAGGAGAGTGGATGAACAGATGGGGAACAGAGTAGCTGACAGGGCGGCACAAAAGGGAGCATAGGAAACAACACCTAAAGGGATAACAAAGCAATGGATTTATGCAGGAGGAGGAGGTACAGTATGTGGACAGAGGAGGGTTACAGATCACTCTGGAGAATACCCACTTTGACAATGGACCAAAAGGGTGCTTGACCTGTTCGTGTAGAGGTCATTTTGCCTTCTCTTGCCTTCTGAAGGGAAATCACTTCACAAGAATGGTGGAGCAGATGTGCAGGTGGGTACGCATCAAAATGGAGGAAGAAAGCACCAAGCAGGCAGAATAGGCATATGAGCACAGATACATACAACTGGTGGGTAGGAATGTACTTGGTTGTAGACAGAAATGACATTCTGGAGGCACAAACTTAACATGACAACCGACAGAAGGTCTTCCCAGGAAATAGGATGCAACAATATTTTCATCAGGTTTTTGTTGCAAACTCTCCCATGGGAACAAAATTAACAAAGACATTCCATTTTACATGTATTTACAAAGGAGAAATTACCATCTCCTTTTCGTAACCAAATCAAAGATTTCATCCATTGTTGCTTTGTACTGCCAATCCTCCTGGCCTTTACCATTCTCACAAAAGTCTCCTACTGCTAGCTGTTCCTTCTTCATCATCTCCTTAATTTCACATGTTGAATGCACATACAGTAAATTTCTCACAAACCCACTTCCCTCTGCTTATCCATCCCATATCCCCTACGTTACTCCTTCACTTCTTTGTGAGGCTGGTCACATTCTGCAAAATATTTCTCCAGGATTATTCCTCACTATTTGCCAGAATCCAGCTGGTAACTCACCTGAGTAGTTCTACTAGTGTAACTTTCAGCAGTGAATTGGCAGCAGTTAAGAAACTGTCACAGACATTTCCTATCACACAACAGTGTAATAGGAAATACCTACACTGAATTCTTAACTTTCATTGATTTGCTGCTGAATATCACTGCTCTGGAGTTGTGCTGGTATCAATCTGTAATAGAGCCATGGCTATTAAAAATGAATCTGTGCATAAGTAAAAGAGAAGTAAAAAGGATCAACTCTGAAGAAAATGATGGATGTGTCTGTCTGTTTTTCAGGACATTAACTGCACAGTTGTTACTCAGTTGCAGTGTGGGGTCCTGATGGCTTCCCTTAAAGTAGTACTGCTTCTAATGAGGGAATCTCAGAGGATCACTACTCCAACCTGCATTATTTTGACATCTGGGGAGATGATGTTTTTCCTCAGGTGTATCCTTGGAGCTAGTCGTGATTTGAAATTCCCTACAGTGCCACAGAACACCTATGACTCAGAGCAACAGGAGTGATACAAATGATGGCTCAAAGGTCCAAGAAATAGTGAAGCCCTTTGCCACCTAACTATTATTATCAGTAAGCTCACTGGGAATAGGACATGCTGCTGCAAAGCACTTTGTGGCCGTTTGCCAAAGGGTTTCTCAAGCCTGAAGCCAGTTGTACCGTGGGTCCATTGACTACATGTATGTTCCCAGCAACATGGAAAGGGGGAGAGGGGGAAGAGAAAGAACTGGCAAAATCAGTGAATATTTACGGAACTTGACTGAAAATCATTAACAATCCAGAATCAACATGAGTTCCATCTAGTCATTATTAAATTGTATATACTCAATTTGTGATAAGGGGAAATATGCTAATCCCACCCCCTCCATCAATAGGAGCCTCTATGTAGACTCTGCACATGAGCTAGAACATGAAGCAAAATGGAGTCATAGCTCATGTAGATATATAAGAACAGGCTCTCCCTCTTCAGACAGTGCTTTTGTGTGAGAAAACCTGTAATGCAGGAGTTGGGAACTACCAAATGCTGCTTCTTGCATATGGAATACACAAGCTCTAATAAAGAACGAAATACAACCCTGTGTGTTTACATCACAATGATCGGTACAATGTAACTTTTAGGTTCCTTCTCCGCAACACAAAGAAAATCAAACACCAGCATGAAAAAGTTGCTACTGTGGAACTTACCAGCTTGGTTGGTAGTGATGTTCACGGAGACATGCTGTGGAGGGAACGGGCTTTTGTTGGAAACTCCATTGACAGCCTGGATCTCGAAAGTGTATGGTGTGTGGGCCCATAGGTTGCTGATGAAGACCCGGGTTTCTGTAAGGCCCAGTTGTCTTGGTACAAACTCCACATTGTCATCGCAGCGAGAGCAGCTACGGCGATCTGACCGGCACTTCTTGCACACAATGTTGTAGGTCACATCATCGCGGCCTCCTGTCTCCCGAGGTGGATGCCATTCTAGTATAATTGATGTCTCATTGACAATAGAAATCACATTGCGAGGCCCTGAAGGAACACCTGTTAAAAAACATTTTATCCATAAAAGTTGTGCAAGTAAATGTCTGGCTTTGACACAAATGACTACCTTTGATGGGATGCTGAAAAGATTAGCTGCTAATGTTTCTAAGAATGTTTTGCTTTCTTTTATAGCACAGCTTGGATCAATTGTTTCAGTTACCAGTACCATCCTGCAGTATCTGAAATTTTCTCCACAGTTATTTAAGCTGATAATGATGTTTGTAGGACTCAGAATATTTGCACCTTCCTTCCTTGCCTTGATTCACTGTTTGGTTCACCAACAGCTATTGGTTCTTGAACATTTCCTGTTTGCTTATAGGGTGTGTTTGTCTTTGCTACAAGAATTTGCAGAATTATTACTTATGTATTAATAACATTTACATCCATTTTTATTTCCAACGAACCCAAGATGGTATCATGGTGTTCCTCTTTCCCACATTATCCTCACAGTGATAATGAGGGTGAGAATGACTATGGCCAAAAGTCAACCATGAATTTCATAGCTCAGCGGGAGACTAAAAGCTTGGCTCTCCCAGGTCCAAATTCAATGCTCTAACCACTACACTATATTGACATGACATTAACCTAGATGGGATTTTGTCTCCTGAACTGTGCTTCTACCAAGTTATAACATTCATCTGTTCTACTCTGTGAAAGGCAGCTGTCACGCTTCTCCTTTTTAGCTTTACAGGTCCTACCAGTTTACGAAAGGTTTTCAGACTGTTAGATCTGACTAGAGATTCTCAAATTATATAACACAACTGTGGCGATCATCCTGCTTTGGCTCATGTAGGAGATTATTTGCATGTACCAATGGGAGCTGTTGGGAGGTGGAGCCAGAGAGACCAGACGGGAGGGGTGAGGCAGAGAAGAGGAGTTTGGGGAGTGAGTTAATCAGCCAGTTTGAGTCAGAGATGAGAGTCTGAATTGAAGATATGGGAGTTAGACAGTGTGGTATAGTGAGGAGTTAAGGTAGGCAGTTAAGAGTGTGGAACTAATAGAGAGCTAAGAGAGTTAAAAGTGAAACAAGCTATTACTAATCTAATGAATACTTTAAAGTCTGAGAAGAACCGGTTTAAGTGAACTGTGACCAATAAACCTGTTTTGTTCAACTTTATACTCAGCTTGGACCTCAATCTTTCTAATTAAAGGATGTTGACAGAGGTCAACTGATGGCAGTGTAAAGGAGAGAACCTGTAGTGGGCCTCAGGTTAGTGAAATAATCTGGGGACATGCAAGGGGCATGTCACAACAACCATCTCAACTCTATGAGGTACTTGGTTCTTTTCACTAGTGTTTTTGACCACTATACTACCAGATCATATCTCTATACTCCCCAAGTGTTTCCAATTTAATACATATAAATCTTGATTATGCACACACGTGTGTGTGCACACACTGAGATACATGTGCATGCACACATGCACACACAGAGATGTGTGTGCACATGAGTGTGTGTGTGTGCGCGCACACACACACACACACACACACACACACAGAGGCAGTGCTGAGCAGGATGAGGCTCATAAGCCACATCACCCACCCTGAAAACAAATACTGTATGCATGAAATTGGACAGAAAATGGAGTCAAAAGAAAACAAAACAAGAAGGTGGCAGAGAATGGGGGAAATGGTACAATTACAGAATGGCTACAGATGGGGAAGAATAAGGACAATTGGGAGCAGAATTTATCAAGATGGCAAGAGAAGTCATCATCATCTTAGAACTGCAGAATGTGAAGGGACTCAATGGATAATTGATCCCAGCCCTTGTCAAGGAGACATGGTGAGGAATCAAACTCCCAACCTCTAGCTCTGCAGCCACATACCTAAACCACTGAGCTGTAATGTGGACATGTAATGATGTCTCTTAACTCTTGACTTAGAACCAAGCTAACCTCTAGCTCTGCAGCCACATACCTAAATCACTGAGCTGCAATGTGGACATGTAATGATGCCTCTTTTAACTCTTGACTCAGAACCAAGCCTACATTGTCAACCAGGGTGAATTGTGTTTGTCAGGCAGTAGATCAAGAGAGATGTGGAATCATGCACCCTACCAGTGAGGAGCCTTGTGGTGCAATGATTAAACTGGTGTACTGTAGCCAAAACTGTGCTCATGAACCGGGGTTCAATCCCAGGTAGCTGGCTCAAGGTTGACTCAGCCTTCTATCCTTCCGAGGACAGTAAAATGAGTACCCAACTCGCGGGGGGGGCAATGTGTAGCTTGCATAATTAACTTGTAAACTGCCCAGAGAGTGCTTGAAGCACTATGGGGCAATATATAAGCAGCACTTTTTGCTTTGGTTTTTTTCCACCCACCAGACTGCATGCTGTTGCTATCTGTAGGCTGGTACCATTGCCTTCACTGCCTAATCCATCTGCCACCACTCACTAGTGGTGGAGCATCAGTGTTTTTGCTTCAGGCAGTGTTCCCACAGAGTGATCCAGAGCACTGGGCTATATGTCTTCATTCCAAAGAAAAGGTCCTTCATTCCAATGAAGACATCCTGCATCCTGGGCCACTGGGGCCCATAGACTACCTGGTCTGTTGCCACCACTTGCCTGTAACAGCAGGAAACACTGTGCAAGTCTTAATTTTTTAAAACAAACTTTAAATATTATTGGCTGCCCTCCTGAAGGGGTACAATGTCTTCCAACATCCTCACTTTAATCAACAATATTTTGTTATACCAGTTAAAGGAATATAGATGATCACATCACATCCTTCATTTTTTTAATAATTCAGTTTATCTCACCCCAAACCATAGGTTCCCTGTCTGATTCACCCAATTTTATGGGAGCTCCATATAACATGTAGTCAACAGCTTCTTTGTTTCCCCACTCTTTCTTTTCTTCCTCTCCCCCTTTCTCCCTTCTCCTTATTCCATTAAGAAAAGAAAGGTAGAAAAACCACACAATATCTTAGATTAGTAGTACTCAGAAACATCCACTTGGAAGCACTCCATTGTAGTCTTTATAAAAGTACATTGTTTCACACATACAATTAAAACTGGTAAACTGCACTGCATCCTTCATCTCAAAATACCGTATTTTTCCGTGTATATGATATTTTTCTTTAAAATATTTAGATTAAAAATATAGGGTCGTCTAATACACTGAAGTAAGGAGGGGGGAGGGATCAAAGCGCTTTTATCCCTGTTTTCCCCCTCCACTTTCTGCGAGGAAAGTGCAGGGGAAAAGCTCTTTCTTGCGAGGAAAGTGGAGGGGAAAGCAGGAATAATCAAAGTGATTCATTAAAGTGATTCCTTCTTTCCCTTTCCACTTTCTTCCAAATAAAGTACTGTAGAGGGGGGAAAGCACTTGCTTGCAAAGAAAGAAATTCTAGGTTAGAAAAAGGGGGCAATCTTATACATAGGGGTGTATTATACACAGAAAAAGAAAGAAATTCTAGGTTAGAAAAGGGGGGGGGGCAATCTTATACATAGGGGTATATTATACACGGAAAAATATGGTAAGCTAATTCTGGTTCTACATTTAAGCTACACAACACTAAAAATATAAATCAGATAGAGTTTGTTATAGTGCATTAAATAAGAAAGCATTCCCATCCTTCTCATGGTGATTGGTTATCATGAGGGTGAAGTGGTCTCAGAGAGTACTTGAAGATTTTTGAGACTATTTTTCTGTGATTGCACATGTGCACACAACTCAAGAACTCTTGCTTTGCTGCTCAACTGACTGAGAATGCAGAATTATTAGGGCCATCTGCATCTTTGCCAGTTAGCTTGTATTTCTTTGCTTGCTGTCTCTGATTAGCTTAAGGTAAGGTAAAAAAAATGCTGGAGACTAGCTGCCCATATTGCAACAACAAAACAGTGTTTGGTGTCTCACTTCTGTGGTGGTCCCAGAACCTTTGACAGGGTGTCCTAGACAAGTTGTTTTTATCTTAACTGAGACATTCATGAGATTTATCCACATCTCTAATTACCACATCTCACCATTTTGAGGCACATATCCTATCAGGCACTGAAGATCAAATCAGAGACACAAAATGAAAAGATTTGACATAGTTCACAACAAGGCCCAACAATTGCAAGTGACGCTAAATATTCATTTTCTATCACTGCAGACTTTCTACTGGAATCATACAACTATTTCAGCTTTTCATTTCTCATGCTTCTGGTGGCTCCCACTGGAGTTCTAACATCATGTGAGCAAAGGCAATCTGGTTTGTTTACACTGTGGTCCCTCCCAAAAGCCTGAACATGTGACTTGTTTGGATGACAACTTTCCCAGTCTTCTAATCAGTACGGTTCAAAGGACAGGTGACACCTTTACCGGACGGCTTAAAAATATAACAAACAGCTGTTTTGCAAGGTCAATCCATCTTCCTCAGGTTGTGCACCAAACTGTTATGGACAGTGCATAGTGTTAGGCTTGTCTCAATTCAGGTCCCAGGATCTCCCTGTCAGCTTAGGCTTGTTTAAATTACAACCCCCATTAGCCACAATTAGTGATTCTGGAAACTACAGTCCAAACGAGTAGCATTTCCACACTCTGCCAATCTCACCACACCACCATCTCTAATCTCCTGCTCTCTTGATTCAAGCTTCATGTTTATGCTGCTGGAAATCTAACACAACAACAACAAAACCCACACTTTGCTGCAAACCAAATCCAATCTACTGAAATCAGATCATTGTGGGCAAGTAAAGCTGAGATGACACCGTGCACTTTTTTAAAAAGACAACATTCCATGAAACATGTTGTTAGGGTTAAAAGAAGCCCACATGCTGAAAAAACAGATACAGGCTTGCAGAAAATGTCAGAAGCAGAGAGAGTTATTCATGGTTCAATACGTCAGATTGAAAAGATGGATATTTAGTGAGGTCCTACAAAGGTCTCCTTCTGTGTCAACTCCCTGTGCAGTTATTATTTATTAGCAACTTGGACACCAGAGTTCAGAGTATGTATATCAAACTCATAGCCAACACCATTCTGGGAATGACTACAGGCATGTTGCAGGATAGGAATTA